CTTTTCCCCAACAAATTGGATAAGCTAGATTAAAGGGATAAATTTCTAGAAACACAAAACTTACCAAGACTGAATCATGAAGAATTAAAAAATGTAAAGACCTAAATAAGTAAAGAAGTTGAATCATGAACCAAAATCTCCTGGAAAAGAAAAGTTCTGGACTCAATGACTTTACCGGTGAATTCCCCAAACATTTAAAGATGAACCAATACCAACCCCTTAAAATGGCTGCATGAAACAGAAATCAACTTGGACATGGAAAAGGTGGAAAAATTAGAACCCTTGTGCACTGCTGATACAGCTGCTATGGAAAATAGTATGGTAGTTCCTCAAAAAGTTAAAAACACTAATATATGATCCAGCAAAACTATTTCTGGATGTAACAGGCATACTTTGAAAATATTGTGAGTTTGGTACCAGAACACCACAATAAAGAAAACATGGCAATATAGCCAGTCACACAAATCTTTAGGTTCCCCAGTACATATAGAATTTATGTTAATACTACATTGTAGTTTATTAAGTGTGCAACAGCAGTGTGTCTAAAAAACAATGTATATGCCATAATTTAAAAAATTCTTTATTGCTAAAAAAATGTTAACCATCATCCGATCCTTCAGCAAGTTGCGATTATTTTTTTTTGCTGGAGAATCCTGCCTCCATATTCATGGCTGCTGACTGATCAGGGTGGTGGTTGCTGAAGGTTAACATGGCTGTGGCAATTTCATAAAGTAAGACAACAGTGAAGTTTGCCCCATAGACTGACTCTCCCTTTCACAAATAATTTCTCTGTTTGATAGAATTTACCCACAGAACTTCTTTGAAAATTGGAGTCAATCCTCTCAAACCATCCATGAGGGTTACAATCAACTTCTTCCCATCTCCTATTAATGTTGATATTTTGACCTCTTCCTATGAATCATAAATGTTCTTAATGGCACGTAGAATAATGAATCCTTTACAGCAACTTCTCAATTTACTTTGTCCAGATCCATCCGAGTAATCACTATCTATGGCAACTAGTGCCTTACAAAATGTATTTCTTAAATAAGACTTAAAAAGTCAAAATAACTCCTTGATCCATAGACTGAAGAATAGATGTTTTGTTAACAGGCGTAAAAACAACATTAATCTCCATCAGAGTTCTTGGGTGACCAGATGCATTGTCAATGAGGAGTAATATTTTGAAAGGGATCTTTTTTTTTTTCTGTAGTTCTCAACAGTAGGTTTAAGTGTTCGGTAAATCATGTTGTGACAGGTGTCCTATTATGCAGGCTTTGTTGTTCCATTTATAGACACAGACAGAGTATATTTAGCATAATTCTTAAGGGCCTACGATTTTCACAATAGTAAATAAGCACTGGCTTCAACTTCAGCAGCTGCATTAGCCCAAACAGGAAAACCAGCCTGTCCTTTGAAGCTCTGAAGTCAGCCATTGACGTCTCCACTCTAGCTATGAAAGTCCTAGATGGCATCTTCTCCCAATATAAAACTGTCATCTACATTGAAAACCTGTTTTTTTTAGTGTACCCACCTTCATTAATCATCTCAACTAGATCTCCTGGATAACTTGCTGCAGCTTGTACATCAGCACTGGCTACTTCACTTTGCACTTCTATGTTATAAAAACATAAAGAGCTTCTTTCCTTAAATCTCATAAACCTCTGTTAACTTTAAACTTCTCTTCTGCAGCTCCCTGAATTCTCTCAGCCTTCATAGAATTCAAGAGATTTAGAGCCTTGTTCTGGATTAAGTTTTTGCTTAAGGGAATTGTAGCTGGTTTGATCTTTTATCCAGACCACTAAAACATTCTCCATATTAGCAATAATGCTGTTTTGCTTCATTCATTCATGTGTTCACTGGAGTAGCACTTTTAATTTCTTTTACTCACAACTTGGCTAACTATTTGGTGCAACAGGCCTACCTCTTAGGCTATCTTGGTTTTCAAAGTGCCTTCCTCACTGCTAATTATTTCTAGGTTTTGATTTAAAGTGAGAGATGTGTGGCCCTTCCTTCCTCTTGAATACTTAGAGGCCATTGAAGGATGAAAAAATGGCCTAATTTCAATACTGTTGTGTCTCAGGGAATAAGAAGCCCTAGAAAAGGAAGAGAGATGGTGTATGGGGACAGCAGGTTGGTGGAGCAATCACCCACATTTATCAATTAAGTTTGCCATCTTATATGGATGTGGTTTGTGGCACCCCAAAACAACTACAACAGTAATGTCAAAGATCACTGATCACAGACCACTATAACAAACATAATGATAATGATAAAGTCTGAAATACTATGAGAATTACAAAATGTGACCCAAAGACACAGTGATTAAATGCTGATATACTTGGTCAATGTAGGGTTACCACAAACCTTCGATTTATTTAAAAAATGCAGTATCTTCAAAGTGCAATAAAGCAGAGCACAATAAAACAAGGTATGTCTGTATATACAAAAGAATTAAAAGCAGAGTTTTAAAGAGATGTTTGTACAACCATCTTCATAGTAGCATTATTCACAACAGCTACAATGAGACCAGTGAATATATAAGCAAAATGTAGAATACACATACAATGAAATATTATTCAGCCTTAAAAATGAAGGAAATTCTATAATGTTGACTTTAACATGGAGGACTCTATGCAGTGGACTAAGCCAGTCACAAAAAGACAAATAATACATAATTCCACTTATATGAGTCAAAACCATAGACAGAAAGTAGAATGGAGGTTGTCAGGGCCAGAAGGTAGGGGTTGGAGAATGCAGGGTTTGTCTAATGAGCATAGAATTTGAGTTTACAAGATGAAAAGAGTGGTAGATGGATGTTGTGATGGTTGCAAAATGTTATAAACGTATACTAAAATCATTGACCTACAAATTTAAAAATAATTAAAATGGCTCTGGCCAGGTGGCAAAGTTGGTTGGAGCACTGTCCCATACACCAAAAGGTTGTGGGTTTGATCTCCAGTCAGGGCACATATCTAGGTTGTGTGTTTGATCCCCAGTCGGGGCATGTTTGGGAGGTAACTGATCGATGTTTCTCTCTCTCTTCCCCCCCCCCCCCATCTCTAAAATCAATAAGCATATCCTTGGATAAGGATTTTTTTTAAATGACTAAAATAGTATTTTTTGTTATGTGTATTTTATCAAAATTCAAACATGTTTAAAAAGAAGGAAATCTGAGTAAACCATAGACTTTCAGTTGAAAAAAATGTTCACATGAAAAACTATATACAAACATTTATAACATTTATTTAAAACAGCTCCTAAATGGAGAGAATCATATTCTTAAATTGGTGAATTATTAAACAAACTTTTGTACATACATACAATGTAATACTACTCAACACAATAAAAAATACACTATTATTACATACAACCTGGATGGATGTCAAGAGAATTATCTGTTAAAAAAAAATACAGTGACAATAGGTCACATAGTTCTTTATTCTATTTATGTAATATTCTTGAAATGACAAAATTATAGAAATGGAAACAGATTGCTCATTGCCGAAGTTAGGATTTGAGGAGAGGGGAAGGGGATGAAGATAATTTCCAGAACATAGCATGTGAAGATAGGGATGATAAACGCAGCAGCTAACATGTATTGTGTTCTTCCATTAGCCCAGCATTTTGCTGTGTGTTTCATACGAATTATCTAATTTAATCTTTTAACCATTCCACCACGATATTGCTGTTAATTTACAAATGAGAAAACTGACCATTAGAAACTTGTCCAAAGTCCTATCTGAAGCTGATGAGTATTTCAGGATTTGAAAAATGCCTGTGATTTACCAACCACAGGACTTGACACACAATAAAGGCTCAATAAATAGAAGCTCTTTAATTCTTTATCAACTACTAGATTAATCTAAGTTTATATTATAAGAAAAGCAAATCATCTTAGACCCATTTTATGTCTAATAAAAGTAAAAGGAAATAGAAATACAATCACAGTAGACATGTAGCTGGGCAAAAAGAAATCTGATCCTGGCCGGGTGGCTCAGCTGGATAGAGCATCAATCTCATGCACCAAATGGTTTGATCCCTGGTCAGGGCACATGTGGGAGGAAACCAATCGATATTTGTCTCTATGTATCTCACCCTTTCTCTCTCTCTAAAAAATTAACAAATATATGTGTAGGTAAGAATTTAAAAAAATCTTCTGATTGGGAACTAGAGGTAATACATACATAATGTTCCAACTCCTCCATGGGAAAAAACTCAGGAAAAGCAGGGACAGGAACAGAGGTGCATCCAATGGCCTAGTTCATGGCTTCAGATGTAAAGAGGCATCTAAAATATTTTTATTAAGCCTAAGAAAATATTAGATATATATATTACCAAGGAAGATTTTGTCTCTGAAGCAATTCAGTTACCAGAAAAAATTATTTTCCTTTCTAACAGAAAGGGGATATGGATTAAATTAAACAGTGATTCACAACAGTTAAGTTTGAAAAAACTGTCATTTTATTCCCAGGTGCTTTTAAGTCTGAAAGCTGTCTCTCACTGTATATTTATAAACGTGGTGGTTAATAATTTTAGTTTCTTCTCATCTTGGCTGCTTTAACTTTTTAAAATAATGATTTAGTAATGTTCTTAATTATGCCTATTAGAAATCTGGCTATGTGGACCACAAAGCTATTTATGAGGTACTGCAATCCATCTGGTGATGGCAGGAGGAAATAAACACCTTTCTGAGGTCTGACTTTTCAACGATTACCTTATAAAGAAACAAAAATGCCAAGCATACAAAAACATGTGTCAAATGATGAGAGACTGAGGCACAAAGGACAAAGGGCTAGTCTATACTTGATAAATGTTTGTTGGTAGAGGGAGAAAGGACGAAAGAGAGGGAAGAGCAAGAAGAGGAGAATAGGGGATTCCAAACAGATAGCCACACTCAGAAATCCTGAGGTGGAGAGGGGAAGCTAAGAGTTTGGTCAGAGTGCAGATGTCTGTGCAAGTGAGGCAATACGCGCTGAGAGGCGTGGCCAAACACTTACCTCAACCCGTTGTAGAACAACCTCTTGTAGTCAACATTTATTATACTGATATTCTCTTTTCTAAGTAATTCAATGGGGTATAACTTGCCAACTTGCTGAAAACCAGGAGCTTTTGACTTGACATACGTCCTATGACTATCTGGCAACCAATAAATCTATAAGAAGAAACAGGAAACCTTTCAGTTTGTACGTGTATAGGTATAAACAGTCCCATGCAGAATAGATAGAGCCCCATTCCAGCACTGGCAACAGGCTATAGGGAGTAGAGAAGAATTCCAGCCCTTGGCCTAATATTGTCTTAATAAACTCTCACAATGGGGCTTTCGCCAGAGTCGTTCTGCAGCCGAGTTTCCTCAGGTAAAATCATGGGGGTCAAGGGATCGCTGTGTGCAGATAGCCTCACACTAGACCAAGTGGACAAGGGGGTGGCAGGTGTGGATGAAAGGTAGGAATCATAAGCATCTCCTCTGGCTGATGCTGCTAAGCATCCTCTTTGAGAGGACTCATTTCCTGCCAAAAGGGAATGCTATCATGACTCAGCTGTGCAAATAGTGCCATTGGTTTGAGACAAATATAACCCACTGAGAAAAATGTAAGTGGGTCATCGTTGGTTGCTACATGTAGCTGTATGAGAAACAATCTCCAGCCCCACCCAGGCAGAGAGTCACCCCAATATGCCAAGGTTGCTGGTTCACTCCCCAGTCAGGGCACATACAAGGAGCAACAAATGGATGCATAAACAGGTAGAACAACAAATCAATATTTCTTTCTCTCTTTTCCCCTCTCTCTCACTCTAAATTTAAAAAAAAGAAAGAAATGATCTCTATTTCTGTAGGAAACAGAATTATTTAAGGATGACAGTAACGATCTACACGGTCAGTCACATTCAACTGCTATGCTCCAGGGACATTCTACCCACCTCCCAACCTCTACATTAAATGTTGAAATAGACATACCAGATGTTGCTCAATGTTAGAGTCAAGGATCACACGTACTGTTTCACGGATAAATGTGTTTCTGAAAGGGTGTTTTTCTGGAGGGCTAGAAAGATCAAATATCACAAATTTTCTCTCCTTTTGTGCAAGTTCCATTAAATCACTTAGTTTTGGAATCCTCTGATTTCTTGCTTTTTCTCTATCAGCTTCTGATAAGGGTTTCATATTGTAAAATGGTTTGAGCTAAAGAAAAAGAAAGTACAAAAGAGAATGCATTGGCTTCCATCAGAAGCATTTCACAATACTCACGCCATAGAACTTGACACCTAGTCCTACCTATGTGTTGCTCCATTACCATTCAGCACACCAGGCCATCTGAAATACTGGTCCTGAGCTGAGAGTTAACAAGGAGAGATTAAATGCAATCTCCATAGGTAATTATGGCATGTGGAATGACTGGGTCTATATCAAAGAACCTGTTGCCTGTATATTTGCACTGAAAGTCCTTCATGTTCCTGTCTTAACCTTCCTTTTCAGACTTTTTTCTCTAACTCAAGGTAATCCGATCCCTTTTTAGTTGCATTGGCTTCCAATATTTGCTCTCACTGTTCTAGAAGTAGGCTGTGCCTTCAGAATGGAGTCAATCCCAGCTCTGTCGCTCATTTGCCTTCTGTGCCACATCCACCTCTTAAAAGTCTACCCTTAACCTGCAAAGTGCAGTTCAAGTGCTACTTCGTTCAAGAAGCCTTCCTTAAATATTCCTGAACTAAAGAGACTGTGATGGTGTTAATCGCCAGTAGCCCATTTTTGTGCCTCTGTAATTAAATGTCTCATTCTGCCTTCTATAGTTATCGGTGGGTATCTTAGACCAGAGGAAAACCCTGGCTTCACTTGCTTTTTGCTATGTAACGTTGGTAAAGCCACTTAAATTCTCAGGGTCTTTCTTGCCCAAACTCTAACATAGCGGACTGGAGGGAAGGGGTAATCTATGAATTTCTCAAGATGATTTTGAAGGTTAACTATGATACCATATTTACAGGGTCTAGGAACATGTCCAGCACATAGAACAGTGCACAATTCACTTAGTTCCCTCACTCTCCACTGCTTCAACTGGAGCATAACTCCCTTATGGCAGGAACTGTCAATTTGTCTTTGAGATACACAGCGTTTCATCTTACACCACGGCCCACACATATGGCTGCTTTTACCGTCATTTACCAACTGTAGATTACCTGTGGGTGAAAAGTCCATGAAGCAGTAGCCACCTCACATTTTCTTAACTCAAATAATCCTCTCTCTGTACAACTTTATCTTCATTGTCATTCTCACCCTTTCTATTTCTTCTCCTTCCCTTGACCTGCTTAGCAAGCTGCCCTTCCTCAGCTTTCTCTCAGGAAGAAACACATTGCACAATGTCCCCAGGCTAGACTGGAAGGCAGATCATAGAAGTGGAATTAAACCAGTTTAATGAGGGTTTGTTTTTTCTTTTCATCCTCAGGAAAATAGAAATTTCCTTCAAGATTCAAGATTTTGTTTGACTGTATACCAAATCTAGAGCAACTGGTTCATTTAACTGTTAAAACTTAATGTGGGAGAGACTGTTAAAAGAACAAGATGGGAAAGACCAAGACAGGATTTAAATGACTAAGCTGTGCATTATATTTAAAGTGTCCCTGAGTGGGCAAAAGGAATAGGAAATGCACAATAAGGACATATTTATGAAGCTTTTCTTTTAAGCATAAAGTGGATAAAAAATGTAAAAGAGCAGAAATAAATAAATAAATAAATAAACAAACAAAATCAACAACGATGTTTAAAACTCTATAGCATCCAGTAAGCTATAAGTGGTACTATGGGGTAGCTCTAACAGCTGAAGTAAACCAAGTATCTTCTTTTGTAAGTAAAAAGGGGACTTAGTCAAACAAGAAACTGGAATGGGACAATGCCGGTTTAGATTATCTCCAGTATGTGGTTGAACATTTTCAAAAGCCATAGGAAGTAACAATATAGAAATGACAACAAACTTCTAGTTCTCCACATAACACTGCTGGTTCCTCAATCAAAAACAGTACTAAAAGGCCCTCGGTTCTCTGTGCCTACGCATAGAGAGATTACGAGGAGGAGGGCCACTGGAGGATTCAAGGTACCGTGCTGTTTAAGAAAGAGGACAATTATCGGAATCTGCTCAACAGCCCACCGAAAGGAAACCACTCAACAGACCATTTGAGAAGTATCTGTACATCCAGATGAACCACAATGCGGTTTTTGTTGACGCAGGTGCCACCACTTGACTATTAGTCTTGAAACCATAGAAAATTAGAGTGCTCAGCGTAGCACTGAGGTAGTGGGACTTTCTAACCGTCCCAACTCCTCTCCGTTGTCTCAACCTGTAAACTGTGATTTTCAGGCCATTGTCAGAAACACTCCTTCTCCTCTGTGGTGCTTTCCTATAAACGTCATTATTAGGAATCTGCTTTGTAAAAACCACCACCAGAGGAAAGGTGTGCAAATTATTTTTAGGAGTCACTGAAAATTCTACCACACATTATCAGGTTATGGTGATGGATATTAGTATATTGATTCAACAAACAACCAAATACTTGGCCATGGTACTAAAACCTCTGAGGGGAAAAGAAGCAGAATCATTATAATCAAACCTATAAGAATTCAGATTGACTCTGTTGACACCGTTGCCTAACATCCTCTTAGTGCTGCAGTTGAGGAAGATCTCAGCCAACTGTAACAGGCTTAATGTAATAAGGATTCATCATCCCTTTCCTTAGCCCAGGCAATATGTCTGTTTTACCTGCTTGAAAACAAAATAAGACAAAAAAAAACTGAGAAGGTAGAGGATACTGATGCATCCAATTTCTTTGAGCTATTAACCAAAGAGTTATACCTCATTCTCTAGCACTGCCTAGCCCAATAATACTCCAGTTGGTTCAAATTCTACTTTTTCTTGTGCTTTAGCTGATGAAGACAGACAATATTTATTGCCTCCACTAGGAAAAAAAATCAACAATTTACCAGGAAAGTTATGCTTCAGGTATTTACTGAAGGCCCATCCTACTCTTCTCTAGCCAAACCAAGATCTTAAGGATATTCTGCAGCCCATCTTGGAATTCTAAGACTGACTCTGTAACTCTACTCAAAACTTTTAGGAAAAAATTTAATTCTACAAAATAACGGTTCATTATCCAGGGTTCAGCAAACTTATTCCGTGAAGGACCACATACTAGATATTTTTGCCTTTGTAAGAAAAACACTCTGTCTCTCAACTATTCAACCCTGCTATTAAACTGTAAAAACAGCCATAGACAATTCATAAGTGAATAAGAATGGCTATGTTCCATCAGTAAATAAATAAACTGTGTTATCGACAATGAAATTTCAGTTTTATATATTTTTAACACATTATGAAACATTGTTCCTCTGATTTTTTTCCCCGCTATTTAAAAATGTAAAAACCATTCTTAGCTCAAACGCTGTACAAAAGCAGACAGTGCCCTGGACTTGGACATCAGGCTGTGGTTTGTCAACCTCTAATCTAGGCCATGCTATATTGGCTAAGGAAGGATATAATCTAATAAGAGATTACAAATTACCCAAAAGTATCTGAAACCAACCACTAAAGACAAGACGATTTCTGGGGCCAATGGGATATTGTAAAGTATAGACACAGGCCTCTGCGGTTTGACTTAAAACTTGGAACCATTCTCATGAAACGTAGACCCAAAGACCTTCGGTGATCCCAAAATACTCAACAATCATCTCTGCTGATCTTCCAGACCATCATAAATGCTTCTTTTTGAAAGTGCACAAAAGGGGAGACCATGGTCTAAGGGTATTAACTCAACAACTTGGCACATATCAAGGACTCATTGTTACCGCTGTCCGTTCCCTGATCCAGCAACAAGGCTTTTTATCTTTCCTCAGGAAAAACATGCAGTCCTGGCTAAATTAGTCTAAGCAGCTTCAGATCCCGTTCTAGCTTCACCTTTCTGTACTACATTTAATACAATCCCCATTGTCAAAGCAAATACCCGCTCTTTTTATGTTAGTTGATTAAGTACCATACAGTTACATTCTCTTTCTCATGTGACCATTCATGATTGTAATACTTTTGTTTTTTAAAGATTTTATTTCTTTATTTTTAGAAAGGGGGAGGGAGGGAGGGAGGGAGAGAGGGAGAGAAACATCAATGTGTGGCTGCATTTCACGCGCCCCCTGCTGGGGACCTGGCTTGCAACCCAGGCATGTGCCATACACTGGGAATTGAACCAGCGACCCTTCGGTTTGCAGACCAGTGCTCAATCCACTGAGCCACACCAATCAGGGCTCACAATCATAATACTCTTAATACAGCAAATCCATTAGCCTTACCTATGAGAAAGAATCTCATGCTTTCTCTAATTTGATAACAGTCCATGCTGGAAATAGTTCTTTTGGATGCTCCTATATCAAATCTTGATTTAATATTGTTTATTGATAAGTTTTATTTTTATGATGAAAAATAGTAATAGGCTGATTATGCAATAATTTTTCCAGATTCTTTTCTAGAATCTCAAATCTATGACCAGCTATTAAATTGGCTCAAGTGGCCAAAATACGGCCCTCCTTAGGGGATGTGAGTTTGCTAAAAATAAAAGGGTAACTACGTACAATGATTGCTTGTTTGCTTTTGAAGTAGGTCACAACTTCAGAATGCTATAAGAGGGGTAAAAAGAGGATTTAAACCTCTTTAGTTATCTATATTAAACATAAATGACAAATACACAAGTTACCTAGGCCTTGAAGCTTCCCAAATAATTGTGGTCCTAAAGGTCGATGTCCGCAGTAAAAGAGACATTAGAGGAAATGCTTCAGTAGATTATCATACTGAACTGAATGCTCCAGTAAAGTCCTTAGACAAGGAAGGGACTCTTATAGAAAAGAAAGACCAGTCTACAGAGTTCAAGAATTGCATCATTAATGCCCAAAAAGTGGCCCCAATTCTGAAAAACAAAACTAACACTAGAACCAATCAGGTAGTCAGATTCATGCTGGCCACCTGGTAGCACCAATTAACCACAAATGGATACTTCCCCAAATCCTCCATGACACAACTCATCACAGAGGGGATAAATTGACTGCAGCATTAAACAAACGCTAAGATATCAGAAAATGTGACCAGTTTTTCTTCTTCAGCTATAACTAATGTAATCTTGAGAACTGTAAAAGTGAGAACTGGATTGGAACCTTGTCCTAAGGGACTCTCTTAAATCAGACTTTGTACAATTTCTTCCCTCTGTGGGCAATGAATTTGTAGTAGTAATTGTGTGGTAATTTTATGGGTGTCTTAAGTAACATCAACTTAAAATGGCTTTAAAAACTACCATGTATTTGTTTACTTACTATATAGTAGTAGTAAAATATCTCCTGTCCTCATACACACCATACCCTTGAAATTGGAAAGAATACATAAAACGTGATGAAATGAACCAAACTATCATATATCCTTGCAATTCCATGCCCTCATGCATCACCCTTTTCTCTTATGCTTTGTGTTCTTTCTCATGAAGAAGTCCTAGATTTTCTCTCTGTCAACTACTCACTTGCAGCCCCATGTCTTGGGAATATCTCCACCGAAAATTCCCATCAGTCATTTATAAAAACCCCTTTTAGTTAAATATCATAAAGGATTAACCAAGATATCTCAGTTCTGTCATTACAGGAACAGGCTGGAAAACAGCTCATAGAAAGACTGCTTTGAACATCACAGAAACCACCACACCAGATACTCAGAACTCCAGTAGAGCAGTTAAAGTAACAGGAATTCATCCTTGGATACACATTTCCCAACTAAAATGATATCACCCATCTACAAGAATAGGAAAGGTATGGCCATTGGAGATCATAATCCTAGGTTCTCCAGGGAACTGCCAGAAGTCAAGAGCAACCCAAGGTCCTTGTAACTAGCAAATAACTACTTGAAGGAGAATGGAGGATATCAAAAAGCAGAAGGAAGAGATTCTCCTGGTAAATGCCAAACTCATCTTTAAAGCTTTTTTTTTTTAATGTTGTGGTCATACTTTTGTTTTCACTGACCTCAGGTTATACACTGCTGATTTAGCCTATCATGTTCCTCTTACTTAAATCAATAATTCGCCCAACTCTGGGATTTTCTAGGCATCCATCAGTGTAACTAAAATTCAGCTCCACCAAAGTATTACTAGTGTAGACAACTTGAAAATATACTGGATGAGTGATTCCACTTCTGGATACACACACAAAGAAAATCAAAACACTAATTCAAGAAAATATTTGCACCATTATGTTCATTGTAGCGTTATACACAATAGCCAAGCTATGGAAGTAACACGAGTTCCCATCAATACGTAAGTAGATAAAAAAGCTGTGGTACATACATGGTCTGTCCAGAAAGTATGCAGCCATGTACTTTGAAAAACAAGAGACATTTACTGAAAGAGATAAAAGAAAGAATAAACACTGTACCTAGGACAATGATGCCTCAGCCCCCTTCAAAGCAGGCACCTTAGGACCTCACACAGTACTCCCAACTGCCATCAGCTACCCCATCATATTTTCCTGGATCTCATCAACATCCTGAAGTCTCTTCTCTTTCAAAGGAGATTTTCGTTTTGGGTAAAGCTAGACATTGTAGGGCACCAAATCTGGGCTGTAGGGGGCTGCGTCACCTGGGTGATCTGAGGTTTCACCAAAAACCTCTGCATCAGACATGATGAATGAGTGAGCGCATCGTCGTGATGAAGCTGCCAATCAAGAGTTGCCCACAGCTGCAGCCTACTGAATCATCTGAACAGTTTCCATGAGGAATGTTCAAACTTACCTCAAAATTTGATGCAGATTCGTTGTTCTTCTCTTAGTCATTTTGAATGTGATGGTCACATAGTATACTTGCTCACTCAACAATGTCTACTTCCCCCACTGACTAGTACAGTGAAGTCATCATTGTTCACACGTGCGCATTCCAGTCTACTCTCCTTGGCTGCCAGGTTATGTCAATGTCATGCAAGTAGAATGCCATTCAGCCATAAAGAGAATGGAATCCTACCATTTGCTACAGCATGGATGGATCTAGATGACATTATGCTAAGCAAAATAAGTCAGTCAGAGAAAGACAAATACCATATGATTTCATTTATATGTGGAATCTAAAGAACAAAATAAATAAACATATAAAAATGAAACAGATTCATAGATACAGAGAAGAAACTGATGGTGGCCAGAGGGGTGGCAGTTTGGCGGACTGGCTGAAAGAGGTAAAGAAGTAAGAAGTACAGGTTGATAGTTACAGAACAGAGATGGCGAAGTGAAGTACAGTATAGGGAATATACTCAATAATAATGTAATGACTATGTAGGTTACCACATGGGTAATGAATGGGACTATCAGGGGGAACACTTTATAAAGTATATAATTGTCTAACCATTACATGCATACCTGAAATTAATATAAAATAGTATTGAATGTAAACTGAAATTAAAAATAAAATAAAAAATAATAAATAAAACAAAAATAAAATATGCTGAACATACCATCCCTTGTCAGCTCCTCAAAAATCTGAAATTAATGCTTCTAAAGTGAATTTCATCAAAAAATATTCTAATCTACAGCCTTAAAGATATTAGACTGCTATCAAGTGATATGGATGGATGGAGACATAGACATACAGACAGTGGAGGATTGCCACACTTAAAGATTGTAACTCACCTTGATTATAGAAATCAGTCTAATTCCAAATCATAGTTCTCTTTATAGGTTATACTTGATATTGTAGTATTAAGGCATATAAAATTCTTAAAAAGACTCAAAAATTAAAAGCAATTAATTATTCCTATGAAGAGAACAAAAGTTCAAAGTGTTTAGAGATAGAAATAACTGAAGATAATATAAAGATGTGTTTTATTGACTGTATTAGTTTCCAAAGGCTGCTATAACAAATTGCTGCAAACTTGGTGAGTTATAAAACACAAATTAGCAACCTGAAATTGACTCTACTTTAACACTTATCACAATGTATGGTAATTGACCTTCATATTCTAGGTGGTAAAATCCATTAAGGTTGGGTGTATGTTTATTCATCATTGTATTCCTTGTATCTAGTACCCAATAGGTATTCAATAAATATTTTTTGAATGGTAAAAACAAAAAATGAAGAGAAAATGTTTCCTAGTATTCCTTATCTAGATTTTGAGCTACTCAAAATGCCCAGGACAATGTAATGTACATGGCAGGCATACCATAAAAGTTTATAAAATGCCTGGATAAAAGAGAATTAAGTGGCAATCATAAGATTACAAATTTGTCTTCAGAATTTCCATGAGTGCTGACAGCAGTAATTAGACTGACTGCATTACTAGAAAAGCCGTTCTGACAATGCTACAATCCTGCCACCAAACTAGAATGAAATTGTGTGTACTCTTTTTTTTTTTTTAAATCCTCACCTGAGGACATGTTTATTGATTTTAAAAAGAGGGCAAGAAAGGAAGAGAAACATTAATGTGGGAGAGAAACATAGATCAGTTACCTCTAGTATACAACTAAATCTGCAACCTAGGCATGTGACTTGAGCAGGAATCAAACCTGGAGGTTTCAGTATATAGAACAATGCTCCAAACAATTGAGCCACATTAGCCAAGGTGAATTGCCTGTATTCTTGACTATCTTCATGTAAAGCCTTTATCTCCAGGAGCAGCACATGAGCTTGTACAGGAGAGGGAATCAATGCAGGATTGTTGAGCTAGAGATGTGTCTTACCCGTGATTGTACAAACCAGCTGCCAGCATTCAGAGTTTTCAGGATATCCCAATAGAATAATTGACTTAAATTGTGGGCGGCTTCTGGCATGATCTCCTTGATGTTGGTTGTTCTTCTCAGGTCATAGTCATGCATGAGAAAAGGCACCCCATCACAACTGCAGGCCGAAGCGGGAAAGAGGGGAATGGGTGAATAGGTTGAACTCAGCCACCTTGGCACACAGGGCTCTCAGAAAGCCCATCATGGTCACAAGTCTTACCAGGGTTCCTTACTCCCTCCCACATCTCAGCAGAGGCCTAGGTACCAGACATTTACACTTTGATGTCCATATTTTTTCTGCCCTAGAGATCAGTCTTTTGTGATATATAATAATCAAATCTGTGATGGTAAAAGATGAGCTTCCCTATCTAGGGGCTTTCTAGCACCAAAAAAAACCAAAAACAAAAAAAACAGTAGATACAATGTTGACCTGATTGTTAGGTGAGTGGGGTGGTTATGGCGCAAGGCCCTGGGGTTCCAAAACTATGCTAAGCAGGCATCCATACAATCCCCCTGTGTTTTTCTGACCCATTTCCCAGCTAGGCACCTGCCCTGAGTATTTCTGGTACCAGACCCTTCACATTAGATGGTATCATTAGAAAGTTCCTGGTTCTCTTATCTGCTATTTGCCTTGATGAATCTCTGCTTTTATGAAAATCTCTCCATTAAAATACTTCAGATAACTCTGCAATGGCCATGAAGGAGTAACAGGGTTGAGAGTTAGCTTCCTACCCATAAACAACCAGAAAACTAGACAAAATAGGAAAATATCTTTTCAGCCAAAGGACAACAGGGAGCACACAGCATGATGATCTCTAGGAAAGACAAACAAATGAAATAAGATCTTCCATTACCCAGGCTTCCTTTTAGCAGGTGAATACAGGACTGTGGCACAGGGAGGGGGAACCTACTGCGCACCCAGCTACCATGCTGAAATGAGGAGAAAGAGGTAAGATTGAGGAGAGGTCAAGATGGCTAGAATTTGTGTACTGGAGTTCCACAGTGATGGAGCTAAATAAGTAAACAAAATATTTCTGGGGAAATATGTGCAGATATCCTTATGTATGGCTAAGTATCAGTCTCTACATATGCAGAGTAAAACTATGAATTTTGTTATGTAAAATATGTAAAGTATTTACTTAACTAAAATAGGATTAAGTATACTTCAAAGACTCAAAAAATGGTTAAAATGTTAGACTTATAAATGTATTATGGTTATAAGTAAATTTAAAAGCTTAAGTAAGAACTATGTCCTAAATTTAATAAACTAAATACTTTTTTTTAAATCTTTACCTGAGGACATTTTTTTCATTGCTCTTTAGAGAGGGAGGGAGAGAAACATTGATGAGAGAGAAAAAATTCATTGGTTCCCTCCCACATAAGCCTGGACTGGGGATCGGATCACAACCTAGGTATGTGTCCTAACTGGGAATCAAACCTGCAACATTTCAGTTATGTGATGACGCTCTAACCAACTGAGCCATACTGGCTGGGGCTAAACACATATTTTGATTTCAATCAAAGTATAATGTTTCCAGCACACAAAAATCACCTCAAAGCACAAAATAAAGTTATATTTAACAAAAATAAATGAATAAAATTAAAATGTTTTCATACACACAAAAGACAGACATTCATTTCTAGCAGACTGCACAATAAGAAAAATTAAAAGACATTCTTAGGCAAATAGTAGATGCCAATTAGAAATTTGCACTGACACAAAAGAATAAAAGTACAAGACATGATAAATGTATGAATAAATATTTAAAACTTTTTGATTTTTAATTTTTTAAAACACATTAATAACAAAAATTTATAACAATGCAGTTGCAGCAACCACCAGCATTGAGCATGTGTGCCTGTCAGAGATAAACCTGCTCACCAGCCAGGGTTTTTCAAGATGGTGACAAAGTAGGTGGATCTTACTCTTACCTTCTCCCAGAACTAAATTGGGAATACAGCTAAATTGGGGAAGAGTCACCCTGAATTACGAACTAAAGGTGTTCTGACAAGGAGACTTATAACCAACAAAAGGCAGAAGCAACCACCTCGAGACTGCTTCAAACAGGTTGCCGAGAGCCAGGGATAGACGGAGTCTGTCATTGGCTTACATCAGAGTGCCCCTCAAGGGATCCTAAACGAACACATCAAGTGGCCAGCTTCAGACAACAGCGGAGCAGGATCCAACAAGCGTAACAAGTATATCCAGGGGAGGGCGCAGCAGGCACTAAATTCTGCTTGAGGTGAACTCCACTTTTTAATTTTTTTATTCTTTTCTTGCTTTTTTCTTTTCTATTTCTTCTTTCTTTCTCCTCTCACTTTTCTTATTTACCTTTCCTTTTCTTGTTCTATTTTTTCCTATTATTATCTTCCTTTCTTTTGTCTTTCCTTATTTCTTTTCATATTCTTGTTTTGTTATTCCTCTTTTCTTTTTTCATTTTGTTCTTTTTCTTTTCTTTCTAGTTGTTGTTTTTGTTTGTTTTGCCAACACTTGTACAGCAGCTTGCATTCCATGGTCAGGGTTGAGCCTCACAATCTCCCAGCCCGAGGGTCAATCCCACCCATGAACAGGCCAACAGAAATCAAGAAGCAGTTATAACAGGAGGGTCTGCATAACCCTCACAGGGTACATTCCTAGAGCACCTCAAGGAGGCTGAACCACTATATCCCACAGGGCATCTACTACATAAAGGTATCCCATGAAGACTGGGACTCATAGCGGTTCTCTCTAATACCTAGAAAAAAACACAGACAACCAAAATGGGAGGCATAGAAACAAGATCCAAAAGAAACAGGAAGGATCTATAGAAAGAGAGCTAAATGAAATGGAAGCAAGCAATTTATCAGATATAGAATTCAAAGTAATGGTTATAAAAATGCTCAACAGCATGAAAAAGGACACAGAAACCATGAAAAAGAAGTCAGAAATGAAGAATAACATATCTGATATCAAGAATACACTGGAACAGCCCTGGTCAGTATGGCACAATTGGTTGGAGTGATGTTATACACTGAAAGTTTGTGGTTCAATTTCCATCCCTCTCTCTCTCTCTCCCTCTACCTCCTTCTGTAAAATCAATAAAAAATTTCTTCAGTGAAGAAAAAAATACACTGGGAAAAAAAAAGTTGGATGAAGCAGAGAATTGAATGAGTGGTTTGAAAGACAAGGTAGGGAAAAAAACACCCAATCAGTGAAGAAGAAGGAGGAGAAAGAGGGTGAGGGGAAAGGAGGAAGAGGAAGATGAAAAAGAATTAACAAGAATAGGGATAGCTTAAGGGAACTTAGAGACAACATCAAATATAACGATGCCTGCCTCATAGGGATACCAGAAGGAGAAGAGAGAGCCCAGGATCAAGAACCAATATGAAGAAATAATGAATGAAACCTTCCCTTATCTGGTGATAGGGAAAAAAAGGCACAAGTTCAGGAATTGCAGGGAGTTCCAAACAAGATAAAGCCAAAGAAGCCCACACCAGGACATATCATAATTAAAATGGCAAAGGTTAAAGACAAAGAGAGAATCATAAAAGCCACAAGAGAAAGACAGTTACTTACCCTCAAGTGAGCTTCCATAAGACTGTCCGCTGATTTCTCAACAGAAACATTTCAGGCCTCAGGGGACTGGCATGAAATATTCCAAGTCATCAAAAGCAAGGACCAAGACTAATATACCCAGAAATGCTATCATTTAGATTTCAAGGGGAAATAAAAGGCTCCCCAGACAAGGAAAAGCTAAAGGAGTTTGATACCATGAGCGAGAAGGGAGAGAGGAGGGAGAAGGGAGAAAGAAGAAATGAGAAAGAAGTGGGGAGGGGGAAGGAAGAGGATGAAGAGGGGGAAGAAGGGAGGGGGAGGGGGAGGAGGGCAAGAAGAGGGAGGGGATGGGGAAGGGAGAGAGAGGAGGGGGGGAGGAGAGAAAGAAGAATGATGTATAGACAGTAAAAGAATAAAATGGCTATAAATATGTACCTATCAAAACCACTCTAAATGCAAATGGCTTAAACGTTCCAATCAAAAGATATAGGGTAGCTGAATGGATAGGAAAGGAAGATCCATATATATGCTGCCTACCAGAGACCTACCTCAGAACAAAGGTTACACACACACTAAAAGTAAAGTGATGGAAAAAGATATTTCATTCAAATGGAAATGTAAGAAAAGGTTGAGTACCAACACTTATATCTGGCAAAATAGACCCTCAAACAAATACTATAACTTTAGAGACAAAGAAGGACCCTACATAATGATAAGGACAATCAAACAAGAGGATATAACTCTAGTAAACATTTATGCACCCAAAAAAGGAGCAATTAAATATATAATTAAACCTTAATGGACATAAAGGGAGAGACTGATAGTAATACAGTCATAGTAAAAAATTTTAGCACCCCATTGACATCAATGAATAGATCTTCCAGACAGGAAATCAACAAGGAAATGGTGGCTTTAAATGACACACTAGATCAGATGGATTTAATTGATATCTTCAGAGTATTTCATCCCAATGCAGTAGAAAATACATTCTTTTCAAGTGCACATGGAACAGTTTCTAGGATAGACCACATGTTAGGACACCAAAAAAAGTCTCAGCAAATTTAAAAATAATGAAATCACATCAAGCATCTTTTCTACCCACAATGCTATGAAATCAGAAATCAATCACAAGAACACTGAAAAACATGCAAAGACATGGAAACTAAATAACATGTTATTAAACAATGAATGGGTTAACAAGAAGATCAAGAAAGAAATCAAAAGATACCTTAAAACAAATGAAAATGAGAACAAAACTCAAAATCTATGGTACACAGCTAAAGCATTCCTAAAAGAGAAATTCGTAACATTACAGGTCTACCTCAGGAAACAAGAAAAAAACTAAATAAACAATCTGACTTTACACTTAAAGGAACTTGAAAAACAACAATAAACAAAGCCCAAAGTAAGAAGAAAGAAAGAAATAATAAAGATCAGAGCAGAAATAAACAAAATAGAGTCTAAAAAACAATAAAAAAAAGCAATGAAACCAAGAGCTGGTTCTTCAAATAGATAAACAAGATTGCCAAACCTTTAACCAGACTCATCAAGAAAAAAAGAAAGAGGACTCAAATAAATAAAAT